TCCTCTCTCTCTCTCTCCACCCCACCCCCCCCCCCCCCCCCCCCCCCGGGCCCGTAATTTCTTTTTTTTTTTTTTCCTTTTCTATTCTTGCGCCTCCTTTCGCTACTTCGCTACTTCCTTTATATCTCTTCTTCCCTTCATTTCTTCTCCAGTGTAAGTCACAAACATTATCGCCTCGCCTGACTTATCACCACGACAAAAGTTCCAGACACCGATAGCCGCTAAGGTATCTAAGATGGTATCTCAAGATTTGGGACGCCACCGATACCCTCGTGCTCGTTGCACAGATGCTGGTAGGGGGTCTGTTGGAGGTCGCAGTCGTATTGAGGTCAAGAGCGAAAAATGGGGCCGAAAGAACCACCAAAAGTATTGAGTCAAATCAGCTCACACATTCCAAACCGTTTGTTGAAGGATGCGATGCAGCATTTCACCAGATTTTTAAAGGACAAGCATCAAATAATCGACAAATGCGTATAAATTAAGGAATGGACCGCATAGATAGAGGAGACACGTTATTTAACAAGTACACCCTGCACCAAAGCTCCGGCTGAGGCTAGCCAAGAGTGTTAGCTGTGGGCAGGCGCTCACAGCATGGACTCTACAAGATTGTGGCATCTTCATCTTCACAGCTGAGATCCCAATAATCTCGAGGAAACTTCTGCACGCTAACAAGGGAAGCCCTACATCTCATTCCGACTCAAGTCACCAAAGAAACGAGCGCGATCTGCTCTTGGCACCAGCCTACACGGGAAGCCCTCTGGATGACTTGTAAGCCCATTGCTGAGCTTGAGTTCCGGCACAATCTCTTTACCGTCCGGATCTAAAGCTTTCTTAATGTCATACGTGGCTAGCAAGGAGACTGCAACAATCCACATGCTTGCCTCAGCCAAATGTTGTCCAACGCAAATCCTCCTGCCGAACCCAAACTGACCCTTTGGATATGGCTCACCGCGACCTCCGTCTTCCTTAGGGATGTAACGTTCCGGCTCAAACTTGTCGGGGTTCTGATATACATGCTTATCATGGGTCATGGCTCGCGCGTTTGCGTAAATCAGCGTCCCCCTGGGGATAAACATGCCATTATAGGTGTCGTCTTCCATGCTGCGATGCGGAAGTCCTAGAGGACTGACTGGACACCAACGCAGTGTCTCTTGAATGATATAGTCCATATAAGGGACCCTTGATTTGTCCTTAAATGTTGGAAGACGCTCGTGTCCGATAACCTCATCAAGCAATCCCCTCGCTTTCTCCTGAATCTCGGGATTCATGACCATGTTAAAAATAAAGACCATTAATGAGGCCCAAGTTGTGTCTTGCCCGGCTGCGAAAACGGCAACAGCGACACCCTTGATATCATCGACAGTCAATCCGGTATCTGTGCCGTCCTTACATTCTGCTTCCCGTTGATCCAGCAGTGTCTGGATAAGACACAGAGCCCTTTTGCCAGATGATAGAAGGTTATTGTATGGAAGATCATGCAGTCGTCGAACAGCCGGGTTCCATTTTCGTGCAAATTTTAAGGAGTTATTCCTAACAAGCCAGTCTGGCAGATGTCTGACCAGGGGAAAAAAGTCGACCAGAGTACCAGCAGGAGGTCCACCATGGCCCAATGCGTACGAAGCATCTTCCGCCATCTGCATATAATCTCCTTTATCGCTGGTGAGTTCCACGCCGAACCCGATGCTAAGCACAACCGCTGTTGCAAATCGTCTCAGCAGAATTTCCCAATTCTCAGGCTGTTTGGAAACTCCCATAAGAAGGGTTCGTGTTTCCCTCTCCTGCATTGCCTGGTATTGTACAATGCTGCTTTTTTGCAGGTTACTTTGCAGTATCTTGCGATGAAGACGGAATAGAGGTCCCCACGGCATGAAGGCCATTGTACGACGCCATCCCATGACTTCGAATAGAACGAACCGTGGGCGATCGCTAAAGTTTGCACCACGCTTGTCCAAGAGATCCATTGCGGCTTGCGCACTGTTCAATATGACCATCTTCTGTACCAGCATATCGAAATACAGGACATCTGATTGATATTTCTTGGACCATTCTGCGAACTTCCACTCCGGGTTGAGGGTTGGAACCACGCGGAGGTGGCCAAAGAGGGCATGAGCGGGTGGCCCTGGGGGTAGCGGCAGGCCACGTCGTCGAACCCATAGAGGTTGTCTCAGTACGACCAGAACTAGAGGAACAAGCAGGAAACTAGACAATAATAGAAGCGGCAGGGATACAGCCATAGCTTAAGCGTACATTCGTGGATATCAGATGCTATCGTGAGAGTTGAAATTGGGTCATGGTAATCAGAGACAGATTTCCCCTCGATCTGTCTTGAATCTTTTTCTCTTTCACTTCGTTGGTTTGTGTTTGCTAGTGGAGTTGCAACGAAGACTGCCGAAGATGAAAACTACCGAAGATGATAATTACCGAAGATGATACCTACCGAGGATAAAAACGCGAAACATTGAATCCGCCGGAGTTGACCTCCGCTCGTGATGCTATAGAAGCGAGAAAGATGTGGAGAGAGTGCGTGAAAGTTTGAACGTACATGGTATCCTCGCAGGTGGCTATAGACATGGCTGTTCATCACCAAATCTTTATAGGATCCACTTAGCGCGGCGGAAAACAGGGTCCCATGTTCCCCAGCCCTGGCCCGGAGATCTTGCGTGTACAGTGTATATTAGCTAGACATCAAGATGCCCGATGCTCCTTCGGCAAGCAAGGAGTTGGGCAACGCCATCACACTTTTCATTCTGCAATGCCCATTATGGGTGGCGACAGCCGCTTAGATCGGCACGTGCAGAATCGGGCTCGAAACGTCTGTAAAGCTTAAACGCACGTTCAGTGATGAGTCATTTATTATATCAGGGCTTGGCACCGTCAGGTGGAGATCACGCAAGGACGGCAGATAATTATAGGAGCAGAAGACATTCATAACCTGGCAGACAATCAACAATTAAGTGCTTTGATAAGAGGCTGGACACTTCGCACCCTGGGCAAATATTTGTGGGGACCAGGAGTGCATCAGAACAAGATGCAATTATGGTGGTTATGTTACTACCAGTGTTACAGCCCCAACTTTTGAGATATTAGAAATCATATGCATCTAAGAACGAGAAGGTAGATGATTAGGTATGTTTTTCCTTTTCACTTTGATGTGTCGAAATCGTTTGATCCAGGCAAGTTGAGGTGAGACGGTTGCCACCATAAGCGACGACGACTACAATACTGTGGTCTCGACATGATCAGTCAACTCATCTGTGTCATGCAGCCGCAAGTCATCTCCCGTAGATGGGCCATCTCTTGAATAGCTCTAAGTCACTTAGATAGGTCTAGCAAATGTGCTCGTTATTGGGCTGGAGTATTTGATCTTGAGCCCGCTCAAACACATCATATTCAAAGTAAGCGACTTATGATATTTCAGACTAAACTCTAGAAGCTATGGAACGGCGCCTTTCAGATAAATAAGGCGTGACTGTACAATTTGATGGAAGAATATGAAGGCTGCCTCATGGCAGTAGAAAAAGATAATCAGTGGTCCAAGTGACTGAATGATTCTATCTGTGCCCATTCAATATCGGGATAACCAAACTTGGTATTATCTTCATTGCCCGCCATTGATGTCATCCAATTCTTCAGAGAAGAGAGAAAGGCGTCCCTCTGCTCTTCTTGGCTTAGATCCAATGGCGGACGGCCATACGCCACCAGACGGTTTCTCATACAGTTGTTAGATCAGGGCTTGTTTCAGAGGAATGTAATGTACTCACTGTGCGCCTGCTGCCACTGCAGTCATGAAAAAGTCCTGTGAATCTAGGAGAGGCTCAATGGCGCTCTTGACGCCCCTGTTGAGGATTTTCTCAGCGAGATCTGATTCGTGAGATACAGGCCGGCCTAAACCGACCCCGTCAACAGTATCAAGTGCTCGCACCATGGCGTCCACCGTCCGCAGTCCACCAGTCACAAATATCTTGGTTTTGTTGAGGTTAATCTTGACCTTTTCAGCAAATTCCAAGAAAAATGCCTCCCGTTGCTTTGTTGATTCGCGCTTGTGAGAGAACCCTAGTTCCTCGTAGGTGCCGCCCGAGAGTTCTACAAAATCGAACTTGTGCTTCTCGATCTCTGCACAGAGCTGCTTGCAGTCGGCCACCGAGAATCCGTCTTCCTGGAACTCTACGCTGTTCAGCTTAATGCCCATAGCAAAGGATGTCGGTATCCGTTTCCGAATCTCCGCAGCGATTTCAAAGATCAGACGCGAACGGTTCAACAAGGGGCCACCGTATTGATCTGACCTTTTGTTTGTGCTTGGCGAGAGGAATTGGGCGAGTAAATAGCCGCTAATATTAGTGAGACGGGCATCAATCAGCATTTGTAGGATGACTGGATACATACTGTGCAGCATGTAGCTGGATTCCGTCAAATCCAGCACGGTAGCAGTATTCCGTAGCGTGAGCAAAGCCTTCAATGATACGGGCAAAGTCTGCTTCCTCCATTGGCCTAGGTACTCCACTTTCCATACCCATTTCGTTTGTTTTCAACTGCACGTCACTGGCTGAAATTGGGTTTGGCTGGATGTTCATGGCGACCTGGCGGCCCGGATGAGATAATTGAGCTATGACAAGAGAGCCATGCTTTTTGGCCGCTTCTGCAACCCTTTTCAACAGACCAAAACGCTCACCAGAGAACGGTGCACCGGGCGGGATAATGACATTGCCGGCACCCTCGAGGTGGTCATATTCAAACATGATGTTTCCTGTCAAAACCAGACCAAATCCTCCCTCGCCGAAACGTGTGTAGAGGTTGACTAATTCCGGTGTTGGGATGCCGCGTTTCTCGTGCTTTACGGGATCCCACGTTGACAGTTGTTCAGTCATTGCAGCTTTGAGGAGACGGTTTTTGGCCACTTTGCCGCTAGGCTCCAACCTCAAGGGTTCGGCAAGTGGCGAAGAGTCTGTATCTTTGCTCGGAACACGATTGGGATACATTTTCGATTTCTTGAATGTGAAGTCTTTCAAACGGGATGGGCATCTAATCTTTGTATCTTTGTGGAAATGAACCTGTCAGACTCTACTGTATGCAGAACCCGATGACATAGAATGACAAAAGTTCTGACAATAGACTATGGTAGAAGTGTAATATTTAATTATCGAGATGTGCTTTAGCCGATCGGGGGTTGGAGAATCACATCCATGAATGGGTTAGACGATGCTGTGAGTCATTTCTCCTTTCAAAGTAGTGCCGTAAGTATCATCGTACGAAATGCGGGTGGGTTCTACTTCAATAGTGGATTTGAGTGAGCATGGCCATTGTTCCCTCTTTCTTTTGCATGAGTACGTCCATACCTGAGCAACCTACTCGAAATGTACAGCTTTTGAGAGAATTGTATCCACAGCCGCAAATTACAACATGCCGATTTGAACTTTAATTCATCGGCAATTACAGCCATACAATACTGCGGTGACACTGATACCGAGGGTCATGTTTGCAAATGCAACGCAAAGCTACGTTGATGTCTGGACCGTCCTCCCCGAAGGCAACAGAATGGACCCATTGAAAATAGAAATCAGAGCTTATCTCATTCTTGCTGGAGCTTCTAGCGGAGACGGGGCTCTGTAAACCTCTGATCAGCCATTTCTCACTCGATCGTCGAAGGAATAGAGAATACTAGTTGACCAGTCATGCAAGATGAAAAGTATAAAAAGCGGACTCCAAGAGTGGCTGGTCTAGTCGAAAAAGAACCAGGCTGATTAGAGTTGCCTATTTTGTCTTTGCCAGTGTGAAACAGGGGCTGGCCAACTTTCACGCAGCAGCATCCACTTTCCTTGTAGACGACATTGCCACTTTCGATATGTTCCATGCAAACAACGTCAGGTACAATCTGACTGGGGTCTCAATGGCTATGGACAAGGAATAGTGTTCCACGTTTGCGACCTTGCTCAATACTTAGGCCCTGAGCTTCGATATGTGATGGGAAACCATGTCGTATAGTCTCCATTCTTCTGTATGTAAACGTGATAGTTACGCATTGAGGTCGAGCCGAAATAATTGTTACATTGAACACCGAGGGCAACTTGTGGAAGCAGGACCGCTGGCAAATCTATTGAAGGAAAACTTTCATCAATAAGGATGCAAAAAATCCCGCTCCCAAAGTCAATCTCTAAGTAAATACGGTTTCTCAGGTTTCTTTAGGTGATATCCACTTTGGTAGAAAATTCCTACGCTGTGCTTGTGGAAACTAATTCTGTTCCATCTGTACATCGTCATCATCCTCGGAAACGTTGATGAATACACTTAAGAGAAGTGCTGCCACCGAAAATCCAACAGCCAGATATGCCGCATTATGGTAACCTTTGAGTAAGTCCCTCCCATTGTTAAATGTTTGAACTTCGACTATTCCCGCAAACCCAAGTCCCGTACTCTGTCCATAACTTAGAAAGGTACCAATCAGAGATCCCGCTACGCCTTGATGTTTGAGTGGAACCGCGTTGCTGGCAATGATTTGAGAGCTTGTTGTGATAAGGTCGACTGTAAATGCTGAGAGCAACATCGCAGGAAATGCCATTGCCCAGTAAGTTAGATGGGCAGGAATTGTGGCAAGTAAAATGTTGATTGTAGCCATGGCCAGACAACCTATGCCGATGATGGCTTTTGCCGGCAACCGCGGCACGAGCCAGGCGGCAAAGAATGGGGTAATGGAGCCTCCGATCGTGAGTGGTAGGTAATGAAGTCCCACAGTGATCAAACTGTCTCCGTTGACTGTCTGCATGTAAAGGTTCATGTACCAGAAGAAAATACCAAGGCCCATGAAGGCAAACGATATTGTCAAGAGCAGTCTGTTAAAGGATTGCGAACGCCATATGTCGAACGGCAAAATTGGGTGCTTCGCAACCCTCATTTCCCAGTAGGTGAACGCGGTGAAATGGATCAAAGAGGCAATGAGAAGTACAATCTCGTACCATGTCTGCCACCCGACTGAAGGCGCCTGACTTTAGCGGCGTCAGCTTGATTAGTTGAGAGGAGCAGATGACAGAGAGGGACGAATGCTTACTTCCAGACAAAGTTGAACAAAATGAGACCGCCAACTCCCAAATAAGCTCCCACCCAGTCGACACTACCGGATGCATCGACAGGTTCATCGTTTGCAAGGACCAATATCATGCTACCGTACACGACGAACCCTAAAAGTCCCCTATTGGTTATGTGTCAGAAAGCACGCGTGTCATGGAAGATACATGGAAACTCACATCAAGAAAAATACCCATCTGAATTCGGACAGTTGAACAATGACAGCTCCCACAAGAGATCCTCCAGCAGCTCCAACGGGTGACATGGCCCCAAACAGAGCGAAGCCGAGGTTTCTTCTTTGCCCAGGGGGAAGCGTGATGCTGATCAAAGCAATGAGGTTAGGTACCATGATCCCACCACCAGCGCCACATAGGGCTCTCGTTGTGCACATCATGACCAGATTGCTTGAGAATCCACCGCAGAGGGCCCAGAACACCCACCAGGCGCCGCCCAGCACCACGAGATTCTTATGGCCATAAATCGCTCCAAGACGACCGCCTGTTCACGATGCGCTTGTCAGTTGCTCGTTTACTAGTACAAGATATACAAAGAGGAGAGGTTCATGTCATCAAACACCTATACTGACCTATCAGAACAAACGAACCTTGGGTCAGAGGATACGATGCGACCACCCAGACCGATCGGATAGGGTCAGCCCCCAGCACCTGTCCGATGACAAGACCTGAGTTAATCCCGACACCCAGTGGAACCATCTGAACCGCTTGCGTCAAAGCCACAAGGAGTAGGAAGGCATACTGTCGCGTCTTGCCCATGGCTCGGGTGGTTTCTGCTCCCAGCCCTAGACTTGGGTCGTAACGAGGCGAGCTCAGCGACATCGTGAACAGTTCCAGGTAGCAATGGGTTCGGTTGCTCTCTGATAGTCAAGAACAGGAACGGACGATGGATTTTGGCGTGGGAAAGCTCTTGGTATCTAACAATTAGTGCCAAGAGGCATCGGTTAGGCGTGGAGATGACGATTTCCTCGGCATTGCGCAGCGCGCGCAAGTACCGAGATATGAAATTCCCCGAAAATTCTAGCGACGAAGGAGCTGAATGAGCATCGGCCAATCAAAAACTGATGCTTCTGGGCTGATGTCGTCTACCAATCGGACCTTGCCCGCGAGCAAATTTCTTGGGCAGATACGTGCGGGACGGCCCACCCCATGCATGGTATAGTAGCCCGGGGGGCGGGGTCATCTCTTTCCAGTTTGGCGATGCAGGGGAGCTGGCCACTTCATGCAGATAATCCCTGCCTTCTGCCTTCTGTCTATGGGATTCCCTGCCAGCGCTTAGTCTGGGTAGTATACAGGGCACCACGAGAAATCACTTGTGAGGACATGGGATGCGTGCCGAAGCAAGCCATCCAGATTGAGGTTCTGGGCCAGGATCGCGATGTGACCGTTAATCCATCGAACGTTCACCCAATCACGTCAAATGGCTTCGCCAGGTCTTCTTACTCACGGCAGTGAATTCAAGTTATTCTGACCTCGGCTATGTCTTCAAATAAACCAAATTTTCAGCCTTACTCTGTTCATTCAGAAGAAAATGGTGGACCCGCATCGTCCATGCCGTGTCCTGATCAGACGGTGGAAGACTTTTCTCTGATTCTTCTACTCTATTCCTGAGCCCCCAAAAACTTCATCCCCTTCAATATCCATTGTAGCATTCATTGGAAACAAAGAATCCACAAATTCCAAGAAAAGTCCAATCAACATGTCGTCCATCATCCAGATTGATACAACACGCCATTATCACAGCACTGATGCTGCATACGTTCTTCCTAATGAGTATGTATTGTTGTTGCAGACCTTTCCCTTCGCAAGCTAACGAATCTGGATAGTGAAATTGAACAAGCACGTCTTGACTCGCAGGCCGTTGCCATTGTCGAAATGCTGGGGGGCCTCCCCTTCCTTGGCCTTCCAGCAAGTACAACTCCCGGGTCGAAGATGATCGATGTCGGCTGCGGAACAGGTGTAGCAACATTGCAGCTGGGAAAGCTGTGGCCCTCATCCAAAGTATACGGGGTCGACCTTTCGGTCGTCCCCGAGTCTACACAAAAGCAGGCACCTGGCAACGTCTCCTTTTTGCAAGGGGACATTTTGGAAGTAGACTTTACGACACCGAGCGATGACTTGCTTCATCAAGAAGTCTTTGCGCCCAGTAGCGTGGAGTACATTTTCGGCCGCATGTTATTTCTTGGAATCAGTGATTGGAAACTGTACTTTTCCAATGCCGCCAAGGCGCTCAAAACTGGCGCCATTATCGAACACCAGGATCTTGACTGGAAGTTCTATCGAGTTGCGTCAGATGAATGTCTGAGTGATGAATGGCAATGGTGGCATGAAGTGGTTCAAGCCGTAGAAGCATCTGGCCTATCATTAGTGTCGGGATCCAACGCTGCGGCACTCCTCAAGGCATCTGGTTTCGAAATTCTGAAGGTTGAAACTTTTGAATTTTCCTTCATGCCGTCGTTGAAGACACCCAACAGTCAAGCTATGGGAAATTATGTCCAGGCGAAACTGCTGCCACAGTATCCTGAGCTCCTACGAAAGCTTCTAGAGCCTCGTGTCAGTAAGGAGCGACTCAAACAACTGATCCAAGATTGCCTGCGTGACCTATCCTCGGAAGACGGGGTCCATCAAAAATACACCGTAACCGTTGCCAGAAAGCTCTAAAGCAGAAGTCGTTTGTACAGATAGCACCTCAGACCATCCAAAATACTATCTGTGGCAGATCACCTGCTCAAACAAATTAAATAGCTCTTTAGCAGATTTCCTTGCAGATTTGAAAACCAAATTCAACCATTTTCAGAAGTTCTTACTTCACCATCGTTTGAAATGTCGTAAAATCATACTCCAGAGATGACTCCAAGTTCTCAGGCAGATCATGACACTTTTTTTCTTCTCCCTCGCTTACTTTGTCTGCAACTTGTCTGTCTTCCAAATCAAACTGAGATCAATTGCGGATTCTCAGATCTCGTGATAAAGACGCATTGAACTCATCGAGACAACGTATGATCGGCGATGAATCGAAAAGGAAGTGCTTTCTGATTTGCCGTCCTTCACTGCCGGTGGAACCATGTTCATGCCCAAAAATTCGTGCCTTTCTTCAGCTTGACTGCCCTCGAGGGTAATTGCCGATCTGCCGTGATACTCGTCATGACGCATGCACTTGTGTGATGAGGCCATTGCCCTTCTGGGGGTAAGGTTTCCGATGGCAAGGGGGGGGGGGGGGGGGGGGGGGGGTAAACGAAGAGTAGCATGCTTTTACAAAATGGCTCGTCGTAGTTTTGTAGGGGAGATTACGAAGCACCGAAGTTGACCATGGGTGTCAAATGACCATGTACGTGTTAGGACATGGGTAATTGGCATAGTCAACGAGGCCTCGTACACCTGAAGCTGGCTGGTAGATTTTAGAACGTTTGATAAACGAAATCGACACTGTTTACCTTGATACATTGTGCTAGCCCTCCAAGAAAGATATACGCAAGATGAAATCTTCCCGGGCTGAGTCAAAAAACATTGTCACCCACCAAAAACTTGATCACAGCCCAATTGATTCTTTTTCGTATTAATGAGATCGATTTTCTTTACGTGAGGCAGCTTGTTGCGTTCTTTTATATCCTACTCGAACAAAAGCATCTGCCGATTTTGTTCTTGCAAGTACACAAATTTCAAGAGTACATTGTTGTCATAATGTTAAGCCTTCCCCATTGGACGCTTCAACTGTTCCCTTTTCAAAGAATCATCACCTTCATGATATTTTCTTCAGCCATGTTCACATTATTTGCACTCTTCCATCATGTTATACGAACCTTTTACGCCTCGACGATTTCTCGTGTGTTCAATCAAAACGTCCACAAAACTATACAAGACATGGGAGAGGAGCTTGTAAAGCAAGAAATTGTCTCAGCCTATCTGAAGTTGGTGGAAGAGGATGGTGCTGGCACCTGGCCACCGAAAACAGATTACGTGTCGTGGCCTCGTGCCCTTCGCGGGTATAAGGAAATCTACCTTGAGCTCAGCCCTCTTCTCGCTACAGCTGAGCCCTCCCTTGATGATGACACCAATCAAGGGAGACGAATACAGTACCGCTCACTCATGCGAAAGCTACTGTCTGACCGTATTAGCATCCCGAAAGTGGGAGCTATCATGGAGGTCGCAGAGACGGGGAATTTTGATTTATTCCCCAGAGACGCGTACAATGGCTTTTATTGCTGCGTGGCTGTATTGAGGCATGCTTACAGGTGAGTACTAAGCAATCAAGCCTCGTGGCTCTTTTACTGATTAAAATTGGCTTCATTTATTAGGTGGGCAACCATACCTGTCGTCAAGGTAGCTCAGGAGGAGTTGGTCGTAGACCTACCCCCTGAACTAGAAATCCCGTGGCCATACCTACAACGCCATTTCGGCGTCGACGCCGATAGTGGCAACAACACCGCAAACGTCCTTATGAATTTTACCGCGAGCGGAGAGCGTGTCTTTAAAATTAACGTCGGCTTGAATGAGACGGTAACCCGATCTGAGGATATATTTTTCCATGTTTTCTACGAAGTGGAAGTCAAGGTTTGTTTCAGTCAGACTTCTCTGCAGAGAATAATTGTTGACACAAGCAAAGGCAGTGCCAATATACGACGCCATGGTGCGAGCTATTGTGGCATTTGATCAGGGAGACAAAATGGCTTGCTTAGAGTTCATGAGGCTACTCGGGCGACATCAACGAAAACTCATGAAAAGCTTTTACGAGAACATACACGACCATCTAGTCTCGCGTTCAGTATGGCTTAGCCATGTCCAAGGCTTCCAGGGCTGGGGTGCCGGCAGACTCATAGATGGCGAGTTTGTCAAGTACGATGGTTTATCTGGAAATCACGTCCTCGTGTTTCAGGCGATTGATGCATTTCTCGGCCTCGACCGTTATCTCACGGAAGAAGCCATGAAGCGTTACATTCCCATCAACCAGCGCAACTTCTGTGACACTTTGAAGAAGCATTCGTTTCGTTCAGAGCTTCGAGACACGCCTGTGGATCTCAGCTTGAATCAGGAGTTTATAAATATCGTGAATCAAATGCGTGTATGTTTCATCCCAGAGCCCCCCGAGTTATTTGTATTAATCCGAATCACAAAGGTCTTTAGAGCTGCTCATCGAACGAGAGTCATGCCTTATCTCGAGCAGCCAGCCCCTGAAAGACTTGTTATGACAGCTGGGAAATCTGTACTGGAGACAAATGGGCAGGAACAAGAAATCAAGGAGGTTTTAAAGCCTTTGGACGATATGATGGTCGGGAGACTTCGTGAGACTGTGTAGCAACGGGATTATGTTACGGAAGATGAAGTGCCAAGCGATATATTTCTTTCAAACACAAAATTTTACTCAGATTGACGTTGCCGATAATTTGTTTATTCATCATAGGCCCAAGGTGGAGCTCCGGATATAATAAAAACTTTCACCTTGGCGAGGTACCTTTTTCTTGCCGTTTCTGAAACCTTAATTTATTCTCACATTCCAGAAAAGACTATCTTTCTTTCCCCTTATATCAATGACGTGATTGCCCCTCAGTTCTGAAAAATGACATGCCAGAATGATTCGCCTCTTGAGTGGATCGATGCCAAGGAAAATGCATGGGAGTACAGAGCCAGGGAGCCATGAGCTATAATGCAAGCATGGCTATTATTGAAAGTTTAATAAATGGGAATGTGATGGTCATTATCTGCAGCTTGAAACCTGAGTCTCATGAACATCCTACCCGTTTCGGAACCTACTCCTTATACTAAACTAAATCAATGAGAGTTCATGGTCAGTTGACCTCGGCTAAAGATCACGGCATTTCGATATGGCCAAAACACAAGAGCTAAGTCGCAGTTGTGTCCTTTATTCATCTTGTTAAGATGGGCTCTGACCACTTCATTCCGCACTTTCTCAGGCCGACTAAAGCCGTCTATCTTCGGTCCTTTATTAGACACTGTTCTGAATCTAAGATCATTCTGAATAAACTGTATTTGTTCTATTATACATTTACACAACCGATTTCTCAAATACACTTGGGCAATTCTCTGCAATGAACCGGGTACCTACAGTGAAGTTATCCTCTGGCTATGTAAGTTCGTTTCTGTCGGTAATTAAATTCACACTATAGCTATTTCTAACAGCAAATGAACAGGAAATGCCACTTGTTGGATTTGGCATCTGGAAAGTGCCTCGTGAAGAATGTGCTGATGCAGTATACAACGCTATCAAAATGGGGTATCGTCACATTGACGGAGCTCATAATTATACCAACAGCCTCGAAGCCGGCGTCGGGGTGAGACGAGCTATAGACGAAGGTATCGTCAAACGGCAAGACCTGTTCATCACCAGCAAACTTTGGAATACATATCATCGATACGATGTAGGTGAAGAGCTCGGTTCAGCTTCAACGACTGAAATATTGACCAGAAACACAGATCGCTATCCAAATGGCCAAGAACGAGAACGAGAAATGGAATGTTGGATACATTGATTTATTCCTCATCCACTTTCCCATTGCGCAGCAGTACATAGACCCCAATGTTTTGGAGTTTCCAACTTTCTGGTCCGACGATAAGGCCAAGATTGCCTATCCTTTGGAGAGAGTCCCATTGTCTGAGACGTGGTCTGCATTAGAGACATTGGTGCAGACTAAGGACCGTCCAGATGGGATTCTTAGGTCACTCGGCGTCGCCAATTTCAATGGACAGCTTCTCTACGACTTGTTATCGTATGCCAAGGTCCCAGTGGCTTCGTTGCAAATTGAGCATCACCCGTACCTAGTCCAGCCGGAGCTGGTCAAGATGGCTCAAGAAAACGGCGTTAGCGTGACTGCCTACAGCTCTTTTGGCCCTCTCAGTTATGTTGGCCTAGATGGTTTTCTGTTTGACAATGCGCGAGCAATGACGCCCCTATTTCAGCATCCGACGGTCCTGAACATCGCCCGCAGCCACAAGAAGACGCCCGCGCAGGTGCTTCTTCGCTGGGCCACACAGCGCAATATTGCCGTCATTCCCAAGAGCAACAGCCTTGACCGGCTTCAAGAGAACTTGGAATGCTGCAGCTTCGACATGACAAGAGAGGAGTTGGCGCAGATCAGTAGATTAGACAACGGCACGCGTTTCATTGATCCTGGACTTTTTGGTATTCACATCCACGCTTAGCTCTTTACGAAAAGGGTTGTTGTTTGGCTCTCTACATTTTACTGTATTTTGATTTCGTATTCCCCTAGCCCTGGTGGGTTGTCAGACGTTGAAGATGCTTTTGTGTTGATGTTGGAGCTGTGGTGCATATTGCGGGGGTGACTCGAATTGCATATTTTGGAGTATCCCCGATCAGGGTTGTGATACAAAGCAGCTACGATGTGAGGAAACAAATTTGTTGTGTCAAGCAACCTTATTTATTAGATTTTTGACTTCTCTTACCGACCTTTCTACTCCTATAATATTGCGTGTTGACTACCTTTATTGCGCTTACTCGTTTGCTCATAATGCGTGGATCTCCATCACCTTCATGAGGCTTGCGAGTCCGCTCTTTCTACTTTCCGTCTTGTATGACCGACCAACTAGGATTTAATTCGTTTGGCGATCGAGCGGGAGATAACGGATCGGAGGTTTCCAGGGCCCTGCTTCTACTGGAAGACGCAACGATGGCATGAGATAAGCTCCGATTGCTGAATTCAATGGGCCCAGTCTGACGCCTTCGGGGAAGACGGCCCAGACACCAACGTACCTTTGTGTTACAGCCGCAAAGATGATACTCGGTATCAATGTTATTAGTCCGTATACATACAATCTACTGGTGTGCGCCTTGAATTACCGAGGTGTCAAGTTTATATCGAACTGTTGAGCCTTGCGGTTGTGAATACATTTCTCGGGGGAGCTGTACATTTTGAGTAGGTTGCTTGGGCATATACGTACTTATGCAAAAGAAAGACCTGGCTATGGTGTTCGACAATCTGGGGAAATACGAAAAGGCGGAGGAGATGCATCGACAGATACTGGAGCTAAAAAAGATAGTGCTGGGTCCAGAGCATCCGTCGATATTCGCCAGTATGAATAACCTGGCTTTTGTGCTTAGAAGTCAGGGGAAGTGCGAAAAGGCGGAAAAGATATATTAGGAAACTCTCCAGCTTAAAATACGAGTGCTAAGGCAGGCTCATTTATTAATTTTACTAATTAGTATCAGATGGTGGACTATAGTTCCCATACACTGGCGTATGCTTGAGCACACGGATTAACACCATAATATCCAGATAGATATACGGGACCTCCCGGGGATTAGTCGGGGCCACCTAAATAAGCGTATACTTTATTAAAACTAAAAAGCGCAAAATATAAATTAATATATTATATAATTAATATTAATATTAAACTAATTTAAACTTTAATAGGAAAATATTATTTTAATTAATAATTAAAAATTTTAATACCTCCGCCGAAGCTACGAAAATAATAATTATAAAAAAAGCCGGAATCGGCCTAACGGTATCGTTAAAAATAACCTCCGATTAAAATAATTAAAAATATACGTTTTAAATTTAAGTATAAATTACTAAATTAACTAATTACCTTAAAAATAAAATAATTTTAATTAAAACCTTAATTAAACCGGATATTAAAAAAATTAAATATATAAAAACCGTAATAGCGATTTTCGAAGCTATAAATAAAAGCGACGATCCGAGCATTTAAAATAAAAAAAATAGAAAATAAATAATAACGGATTTTACTAAAAAAAAATTAAAAATCGTTTAATTTCGATTATAATTATTATAAAATAAAAAAGGCTATATACGCTAAATAATATACGGCAATTAAAAAAATCACGAAATAAATAATTATTACGATTTTTCTAAACTTTTTTTTTTATATATTATTTAATTAATAAACCTTTATATAAATAATATAAAAATTTTAAGGCTCGCTATAGCAAATTAGCCTTAAATAATAAAAAAAAAGCAAAAAAATAATATTTTAAAATTTTTAAATTTTCGAAAATATTAAAAAAAGCTATAAATTAAATTAATAAATAAAAAATAATTATAGCGAAAGCTTAAATAAAGCAAATAATTAAAATATAAAATAATTTAGCTTAGGTTATAAATTTCCTAAATACCGTTATTTTAATTATATTATAATAAACCGCCTTTTATTAAATTTATAAAAAATAAAATATTTTAAATAAAAACTTAAAATATTAGATAATAAATAATAACTTCCGTAAAAACTTAAATATCTAATAGCTAATTAAACCAAAAATTAAAAAAAGCGCTTTCGCAATTTACGCTAATAAAACTAATAAATAACCCTAAAACGGATAAAATAAAAACGCTTACCCTATTAAAAATTAAATGCTTTCCCGATTAAATACGGCTAATTTATATAAAAAAAAATAAACTACTTATAATAAAAAGCAAAAAAATACTAAATACCCTATTTACTACCTTTTTTACGCCTTTAATTTATATTTTTATATATTTTTAAAAAAAGCTTATTTAAATTTCGTCCCTAAAAATAAAATGCAAATATAAATAAATAAAGCCCTTAAAAAAACTCTAATTTATAAAAATAAATTCGTAATATAAAAAGGATTAAAACCAGCCGAATTAGCACATTATAAATAACTAAAAAAAAATCGCTTTTAATTAATACGGATTAATAAAACGGATAACTAATAATAAATATATAAAATAATTTTATAATATTTATAAAAAACTATTTTTTACGCTATTTAATTATTTTAAATCCAGCGATAACGATTTTAATTATAAATATAAAAATAAAGCTTATTAATTATAAATAAACTCCTAATTACGATTTTATCTAATTAAACGACCGAAAATTACTTATTTACGGATACGGCATAATAATTATATAACTCGGATTTAAAATATTATTATTAAATAATATAGCTTATTATCCTAAATTACTAATTATATTAATATTATTCCGTTAATTATAAAAACGAAAATATTACTAAAATAATAAAAACGACCCTATAATATTACGCAAAAAAAATAAATTTTTAATTAGCATATTCTAAAATTAATACGGATAATATATTTTCGAATATAAATTTTATAAATTACCTTTAGCGTTATTTATTATTTACCGGAAAAAATATATAATATAAATAAAAAGGCTATTATTAACTAAAAAAGCTATATAATAATATTATAAAATAAAATACCTAAGCCCGGCAGCTTTCGAATATTTTATTTATTTATTTTAAAAAATAAAAATTAAAAAACCAATTATAATAAAATATAAAACTTACGTATTTATAAAAATTACGCGCTAACCACGGCAAACGCTACGGCTAATTAATAAAAATTATAGCGAATAATTAGCTATAAATTTTTATAATTATACTAAAAAAATCGAAAATTATATATCCTAAATACTAATTATTTATCGGCAAATAAAATATATATAAAACTATTATTTTACGGAAAAAACTATTATTATATTAATTAATATTTTCCGATTATTTTTAAATATAATAAAAATCTAATATAATATTAAAATTAAAATTATCGAATATAATAATAAAATTACTAAAATTAAATAAATAATCGGAAAATACTTTAAAAATAAATATATTAAATTCGAGCCTTTAGTATTATATATATAAACCTAAAATAAAACTGCTAAATATTTAAAAGGTATAATTAAAAAAAACGTATAATATATACCGGCGCAAAACTTTTTTATTAACTTTAGCCTAAAATCGGTAAAACCGCGGTATACTTATATAATCGTACGCCGAATTATAATTCCCGATAATATATATTATATATAAAATTCTATAAAATAATTATAAAAGCAAAAAAAATCCTAAATCCGAGCTATAAACCTAATTAAATTTATTTTAAAGCATTTAAATATAAAATATATATAATAACGCTAACGGCATAATAAAAATTCGGCCGTTTATAGCAATTAGCACCTAAAATATAAATAAAATACTTAATCGGATATAAATTATCTAATATTTATAAAATTTAAATTTTTAATCGGAATAAATTATTTAATATAAAAAATATAATTATAAATAAAAAAAAATTATATAATAAAAAATAAAATATATTTAAAAATAAATTCCTAAATATTAATACCTAATTTATCGCTAATTTCGTAATTAATTATATAATATTTAAAAATAAAATCCTATAAAAACTAAAAAATAAAAAAACCGCTATAAAAAATATTTTATTAAACGATAATTAAAATAATTAGGAAAAAAATAATAACCAAAAAAATAAAAAAATAACGCTAAATAAAAAAATAATAATACCCTTTTATTACCGCGAAATTTACCTTTTAAAATCTATTATAAATACCTTTATTAGCCTTATTAATATATAATATAAAAGCGATTACGATTAAAAATACGGCGTTATTAAAAAAAAACCTAAAATAATCCTATAATAAATAGTTTTTTTAGCTAATTATAAAGCTATTTTTAAAATAAAATAAAGCTAAAACGCTTTTTTTTATTAAAAAATAAAAATTTATAAAACGGAAATCCTAGCTTCCCCTAAATAATATTATAAATTATATTATTATCCGTTTAATATATTATTTTTTAAAATAAAAGCTAATTATTTATAAAATTATAAAAATATATAATTTTAAATTAAAATTAATAAAAAAAATTTATAAATAAAAAGCAAATAAATCTTTAATTATATATAAATATACGTATATAAATTCGATAAATATAAAAAATTTTAAAAATATAAGGTAAAACTCGTCGTTTGCGGTAATTAATAAGCGAAATCCTAAAACTAAAAAATTTACGCGGCTATATTAACTAAAAAATTATTTCGCACCTTAATCGCGATTGTAATAAAATTCGATTTTAAATTAATATAATATAACGTAATAAACGCGTTTATATACGCTCTTATTAATTAAAATATATTTATAAAAATACCGGATAAATATCGAAAAAAAAATATTATATTATTATTAAATAAAGCATTTTATAAATTACGGATATTACCGCTATTATAATAAAAAAAATTTATAAAAACTTTAGCCGAAATCGGCTATACCTAAATATTATATAAGCCTTACGTATTTATTAATAAAAAAATATTAATTTTTTTTTATATTAATAATATAATTATTATATATAAAAATAAAAATAAAAAAGC